GAACGAACCATCCTTTATGAATAGAATGTGATGAAAAGGATGGCAGTGGCTTCAATTGACGTTGTGCAATAGAAAAAATTCCCGGCTTTGCTATGAAGTCATTTATTCGGGTTAAAGTTTAGTTTTCCTATTGTATTGAAGGAAGTCTAAGAAGAATTTTATGTTCCAGTTTCCATTGTTTCAACAATTCGAGCACCATGCACTTCTGTCTTATTCTCGGCTATGATACTTGTTGCCTGTTGTACTGAAGAAAGTTACTGAAGAATGTTACACTACACTTTCTACCCGTTACATCTGGATTTGCCCCCACTCGCCGACTGCTATCAAATGCATTTCGTTGCGGATGAGAAGTAAAAAAGGAAAAAAAACCCTGATCATTGTCAAAAGCACTCTTCCGTTTTCTGTTCGAATTCTTTCTTTCAGGAAAAGCTATTCCTTGTAAACTGCTTCAAGTTTAAAAGTGTTCCCAGTTGGTTTCTATCCAAATACTCGCTAAAAGTTCTCACATTCATCATTTATCAAAATCCGTTTAATGTCAAAACGTTTTTAGACTTGAACTTATCTTTTACGCTGACCTGCACAAAAATAGATCTAAAACCTTATGCTTAGCAGACTGGAACCCGCTTTTATGCTATTCAAGACAATTATCTCTCTAGTTAATTGGCTGTGACTCCCCGTTGATTATGCGCAGTCAATTAACCATGAACTCTTTCAAAACCGACCACATTATTAGTGTCTTAAACTGCAAAAGTTTGGCGTTCTTTTCATAAATCTAACACGTTTCTACGACCGCTCAAAAGGATCTAAGACAACGTTACCAATGTCAATAGAAACTGCATACAGCCGCAATAAAACGCGGCAATAGTAAAGTTTGTTCCATCATTAGCAGGAATTAATGAGCAGTCATTAAAAGATTACAGGAAAACATACTGCGTGGGTCGCGAACAGGCTAATACTAACTACCAGGTATTATTCAGGGCATCAAGTTCTACCAACATCCGATATCAAACCTTTAAGTTAGTAGACATTACATTATCAGTCATCTTAGTTTATTAAACCATTTGAAACATTAAACAAAAAAAATGCTTTGGACACGCCGCATGCTGTGATAAAACGTCAAGTGAACGTGCGTCTGATCGACGAGAAATTTCGGAAAATAATATTTCAGTTCCGCAAGAACTCTTCGTCGTCACAGTTTTAAAGGGTTTTTCTGGTTTAGTGTTATAATTTGAAGTTAACCACATAACTACACCAGATTTGTTAAGTTACAAACCTAATAAAAAATGAACGACACTATGAATACAAATACACGATATAATAAAAAACCTAAAATTATGAGAGACTACTCATCCCCAACCAAATGCAGTTGATAGTCTGACGTCAACACACAAGTCATCTAAACACTTGAACCCTCCTTTTCTCTCAAAACCCAGACGGCGATCGAATAGTATCCCATGATGCATCTGGTTTAGGCTTATATTATCACTGCGTACGTGACGTCATCATTTATTCCACGCTCTCGGGATGAAGCCATGGCGTGCTTTCACACTTGTCTGGATTCCGTAGCTTCTGCTTTTAAGAGTACCGAGTTAGTTTGTATTCAATGCGTTTCAAAGGAGAGTTTTGCCGTTACAGTGAGGGGTTTTACTTGTGTTTTGTTGGTCTGTCGAGAAATACATATAAGCTATGTGGAAAGCATGGACGAACGAAGAAGAGCTCTCGTTCCTGTGGTTGTTGTGAATTCGCCTACGGACGAATTATTCGCTGGGGTAAGAAGCCCTGTGCTGATACGAATAAGTTACAACAGGTACATTCTCCGAAGTTCAGAAGGTTTTCTGATTTTTCTTTTGACATTTCTTGTTCGCTTCTTAGCAGGCTTGTTCCGTGTTGTGCCGTTTGCTGCATGACATCTCTTGATTACGGCTCCATTGAACTATTGAAATTTACGAAGTTAAACACTCCGTTATCAAGGCTAGTTATCACCGCTGAGCATTTTGCAGTTTCGGAAGGAATAGCAACCAAAACACCTTCGAAAATAATCATTTTGACTCTAAAAGATGACCAAGCTCGGGAATAAGGCGCCAAACGAACTGAAACTTGAAACAGACATTCACACACGCAACACTGGTATGTTACGAAATTTCAGTCCACTTTGATCGCTTGAAAGGTCACAAAAGTGTTGGTACTTCTCGGTACTTCTTTGCCAAAAATCATTATTATGTCTATATTTTGTGGCGTGATGCCCAAAAATCGAAGACATCAACATACTGTGCAAAGAAAAGCGAATATCCATGTCCTTGTTACAGGTCAGCGCACACTTTGTGATGCGAATAGTCACATATCACAATCAAAGACAAGAATACTATAATATGGCCGCACTCTTAAACCCTTACAAATCATTATAATCGCGTCAAAGATTAAATAATGCACTTTTCTAACATTTTACTGCAATAAAAATAAGAAATAGACCGCGTAGAAAACCACGTTATTTCACGCTGAAATCCATGATAACTTCGATGTTACGTCACGTACGTAGAAAATTGCGTCATGGGATACTATTCGATCGTAGTCTGCGCAAAACCCGAATGAAACTACCAAACTTCCAAGAATTAGGTGGAAGTGCATGCCGATAAAATAGCCGAAACGGTAGAAAATGAAGTGTGAAATTCCTCTTTGACTTCCTTCAGCGCAACAGGAACACTATTAGATGTGGAATCCAACGTATGAAGCCCTCACAAAGCAGGTAATCATATGTGTTTTTAAAAGTGGTTTCCACTTTACAAAGCGTAAGCATATTACATTTTGATTAGCTTTTGATGTTGAATGAAGTTTGAGATTTTATGAAATTAAGAATTTTGACCTGGACGCTTACACCTTTCTTTCTAGAAGAACTCGAAGCCTAGTTACCCAGTTGGGAAGTGTGAGTCAATCCAGTTGCTGAAACGGTAGAAAGTGCGGTGTAAAACTATTAGTTGTTCTTCGTTAAAACTGAATTNTTGCAGTTTCGGAAAGAATAGTAACCAAAACACCTTCGAAAATAATCATTTTGACTCTAAAAGATGACCAAGCTCGGGAATAAAGCGCCAAACGAACTGGGACTTTAAGCAGACATTCACACACGCAACACTGGTAATTGCACTGGTATGTTACGAAATTTCAGTCCACTTCGATCGCTTGAAAGGTCATAAAAATGTGGGTACTTCTCGGCACTTCTTTGCCAAAAATCATTATTATGTCTATATTTTGTGGCGTGATGCCCAAAAATCGAAGACATCAACATACTGTGCAAAGAAAAGCGAATATTCATGACCTTGTGACGGGTCAACAGGCACTTTGTGATGCGAATAGTCACATAACACGATCAACGACAAGAATACTATAATAAGGCCGCGCTCTTTAACACTTACAAATCATTATAATCGCGTCAAAGATTTAAAGAATGTACTTTTCTAGCCTTTTACTGCAATAAAAATAAGAAATAGACCGCGGAGAAAACCACGTTATTTCACGCTAAAATCCATGATAACTTCGATGTTGCGTCACGTACGTAGAAAATTGCATCATGGGATACTATTCGATAGTCGTCTGGGTCGTGCTCTTTGTACCACTTGTGACGTCATCAATTTAAATGTCATCAGATATTCTTGATAAGCAGATAGTAGTGCTAGGCTAGGCCTTTCCGCACAATGGTCAGGTTTAGATATCGACGACATTCCGACGTCGCAAATCGAAAAACAAGGTTATCAGTTTCGGTGCAAAAACGGTGGTAAAATGGTCCACTTCGCCTATGATTGATCAAGGTCCATTTCTAGGCTTCGCCCGTCATTAACATCCAACTTTTCAGTGCAGCCAGAAAGAGCATACAATGCAAAGAGTAGCCAGTGTAAAAGGGCAGAGAAAAACAGAAAGGAAAGGGCCAGCAAACGAAATTGAGAACGGTTAATGGCAAAAATGCGCGTGCCCGTAATTGAAGTGTTGCTCAATTTTGTACCTAATCCTCGAAAAATCTCTCCGTTTAGTAAAAAAAAACGCTTTTTTTTTAGCAAAACTTAGGCTTATTTAGCGTCATGGCAGCTAAAAAACCTGACTAAACGGTTAAAAACGGTATTTTTTGGCGAAAGTTTGGTATTCAAAGGGTTAAGATTTCTCCTCCATTATTCCAGATCCTGGCGTAGGAGTAGTACAAAGCAACAGGGACAAACTTAGAGGGAGTGGATTTGGTGGCTAACAAACCCCCATTTTGGAGAAACAAAAAATGATTGAAAAATTGTGAATATTATGGCAAATGAAAGCAAACACTCTTTCAGATACGGCTCACTGTAATTTTTTTAACAGTTTTCAATTAGGTTCTAATTCTCAAATTCCAACATTCGGGGGACATGCCCCATTGATTCTGCTATCCCAAGGTGCCAGCCACCTCCCTTCCCCCTTTAAAAATACCAATCTTGTACTGAATAATTTACATTTGACAATGGTGGCAGGTCTCCGAAACGTCACGCTTTTAAATCATTGCTGTTTATTTAAAAAGCTACGCAATTACTAAATAAAAATTCCTGTGCAAGGAAAAATACAAAAAACATCGGCAAAGCGAGCCTCGCAGAAGAAACATATAGAACCAAAGAAACAAAATTCTTGCGTGACTTGGTGCTGAAAAAATTAAAAATCTCCGGCTCAGAAAATATTGTCCAATCCTCCATCGAAAATAATGGTTCATCCCTTATCACTCATCAAATCATAGTTTTCGATGGCACCTCCTGCGGCTGAAAAATAAACACGCGCACCGCTCCCCTAAAATGCATTCTTGCACCATTCAGAAATTTTGTTCTTTTAAATTTCCGGCGAGTAATCCAGCCTGATTGGAATTTACTCTCTTGGTCAGGGTATAAAACAAGAAATTCTGTCCAAGGTGAACAAGTATACAGTAATTTACCCCCCCCCAATACGGCAGAAAAAATATCGTGTTTACAAGCAGCATTTCTTTATATAGGGCCAAATGTATTTATAGCAGGTCGACGAAGCGTGTCCAAGCCAGTTCTTTGACTCTGCAACTAGCAGCCTCTTAAAAGGGCATATGGAAAAGTTATATTGTGGATTTCTAGTTGAGAGGAACTTTCGCGGACTTACCTTCAAAGTTTGGAACAAGCGAAACGACTGTGATTAATAAAGGTAACATTTTCACTTCACTGGAGATCTGCTGGTCTGGTTGTCACATGACTTTTCGAACAAAGAAGTCCTGGTACCAGTCTAGTAGTCTGTGTACAGCCGCCCCCTCCCCTCAACAGGCTACAGTCTAGTGATGTTTTTAAAAAGGGCCGGAGTACTAGTGCTCTTAGGCTCGATTTCCAGTCGCTGTTCGGGAAACGAGCCCACGCTCCCCCCGGACGCGAGAGAGCGGCGCAAATCGAGTCTAGAGCTAGAGTGCTCTGTACATGACGAAGAGCTCCTGTTTCGTTTGTCTTTTCCATGATCCCGCTCGTAATTTATGACCTTTTTGTTGACGAGTTGAATCGGAGCTCCGGGTTGTATAAAGAGAAACGGGCTGGCCATGTCCCACAGACAGGTAAACTGATAAAATAAGATAAAATAAAAAATTAAAAATTAAAAAAAAAACATTCCTCGGCATTCTCAATTTAAACCCGGCAAAAATCGAGGTAGAGAATGTATATGGACCGGATGTGGGGAATAACGCTTGTTGTCGCTGGAGAAAGCTTTTATGGGGATGAATCGGCGAATGCCAACTCCTCAGCTAGCTACCTCAGTTTCACTTTCGTGTGTTCTTACACTGATTGGCGATCGCCATTGGAGAAGCCCAGAAACCATTGCAAGTCGCAAAAGAGAAAGAGAAGGACTAGGGCGAGTGATTGGGTATGCAAATGAGCGGAAAATTCGAAAATCGTTCGGTGTTCAATATTTGTTTGTCGTAAAGTGAAAGCTTTCTAGGCCTTGAACAGTACATCAGTTTTGTCTTGGGTCAAGAATTGAAATGCCAAAGAAAGCTACAGTAGTGAAGACCTATGGAAGGCATAAATATCGGACAGTCAAGGCGCAAATTTGGCTTTCTCCTGATGAAGATTTTCGTTCGCCGTTTGGGAAGCCAAGTCATTTTCCCTCCAAAATCGAAGCCGGTTCTGCTACAAATATTTTCAAGCCGAAGTCGTCCCAATGGTAAGAAATATATCCGTTAGTTCTTATTTTCTTGTTTGCGATTTTGATTTGCTGTGCTACTTCGGAAGCTGAACTTTTTCATCCGAAGAGCTTGAAAACATACCGGTCGAATGTGGTAATTCCGGGTAATTTGGCTTACGAGACTGGTGTTATGGTCGGTTGAGAAAAGTTTGTGCATATAATCTTATATTGGGGGATTCATAATGTATCATAAGAGGTTGCAATAATACTGTATCGATTTTCGTGGCTAATTTCGTTTGTAGGAGAAAGAGAAAAGAAAGAATAAGAGAAAGAGATTTTCATGTGATGATGCTCTTAGCTTAGTGTATACTTTTCCTGATGCGCTGTCTTGTTTCGTTATTTTTTAATTGTGTATTACAAATTTTAATCAAATGAGTAATATATGTAAAAGAAATACAGAAGATAACAAAAAAACAATAATAATGAGACACAATATTATAAGGATAAGGATGGCCTGTAAAAAGGTTTGAACCCTATACAGGACAGATCACTTACAGTACATTAAATATAAATTCTGTTGAATGTATACACATCATCAAAGTCACGAGGGAGAGTCATCTTAACATCTAAAATTGCACTGGTCAGTCTCAGCAGAGTAGAAGTAATAATGTCCATTCGATCTGAAAACATAATTAATCTTTTACTTTCTTTTTATTTCCTGCTTAGGAGTAAACCTTTGAAAAAGGTACCAACATCACAAGTTTGTACCAATAACCACAAATGTGGAGCATCACTCCAGAATCAAGGAAAAATTTCCTTGTTTGATGATTCTGATAAGGAAAATGACCATATTTCAAGGGTGTCAGTTGATGACGTCAATGAGCATGAACCCTCAGAAAGAAAACTCAAAAGGAAAAGGCAGACTCTATTTAGTAATTGTACACCGGTGTCAACACAGAAAGCCACGAGACATTCTAGATTAGACAATAGCAAAAATGTGAGAACTAAGGAACAAGAAGTTATATTGGTTAATGACACTTTAGAAAGTAACGACGAAAGGAACTCTCATGTTCATGGAGTTATATATGTCGAGGACACTGGAGACAATTTATCTTGCGGATATAGATCCAGCAAAGTTTTGGACCCACAAAATTCAACCAGTGGTTCCCCAAATCAATGTCTCAGTTTTAATGATAGTGCTGGGCTTAGTAATCGTACGTCACATTCACAAGACAGCAAAGGAGATGGCTTAGAAATCAGAAAATGCACCTTTAACTCAACATCTGACATGAAAAGTGACAAGGTAGCTTCAGTAAATGACAGGTGTCACTCATCCTATGTAACCTCAACTCCTGTGTTTGATCTTGACAACTGTCCAGCAATTGCAAGTACATGCAAATCAGATTCTCAAGATTCCTTTTTAATGGGAGGTAAAGTTGTCTTGGAACCACTCCGAATCACACCAATTCAGTGGAAGAAATTAACCTTGTCTTCTACTGCTGAAAAACCAATCAATAGCCACAACAGCACTCAGTCTCTATGTGGTGAACATAGAAATTCAGAGGTACTAAAATCATCAGGTGCAAGTACATGTAGCATTCAGAAATCATCTGTGGAGTTGAAGGAATGTGTGGTTTCTCTCGAGAAGTTAAGGATAACACCCTTAAAAAATAGGAGTAAGTATCTCATGGCCAGCTTGTCTGGAGATGGATCTTATGTTTCAAGCAGAGGGAAATCTCAACTCTCATTTGTGGTGAGTCACATTGCACATGTTCATGACTAAGTAAATATAAATGATTAGATCATCATTAATATTTATTTGATCATATCTTTTCTGTCTCCTGATGTCAAATTATGAGTCAGTTAAATTTATTTAATAAATCTGTGTGGGTTGTTGACCAAGTGGGACGTCAAGATGCCTTGTCATTAGCCAAGCTCTTTTGATGTGTGTGTTTGATACAATCATGTAAGTCATATGCAAAAAATAGCTTGACATGTTCTCACTGGTTTGAAATCTATTTTCCCAGCAAAATTTGATCTCAAAGCTTTTAATCTTGCATTAATGCACTGCAAGAGAGAATTGGAGAGAGTTCAAAACCTCGAAAAAAGCAGAAAGGGTGGATCTGCAACTACACTGACACACTGAATTTAACGTATCACATCATCACCATCATTGTGAAATTTTATGTTTTAAAGGAAGCCTTAACTCCTGGCAAGAAGAACCAAACAAACTGCAACATTGAAGTGGAGGAAGCAATAGAATTGAGTGCATTTGATAAGGTCTTGCTGGAATGTGATCAAGAAGGGCCTGTTAAATTTACAGAATTCCTTGACTCAAGGTTTGTGACAAGTACAGTAAATGCTTGCTGGACTTATGAAAGTTAAGGGGTATATGACAGATATTTTTTATTTGCTTGATGGAATCAACAATCGTGATATGGAAATCGAAAAAATAAATTAGATATTGTTTTTGTTTTGTTTTTTGTTTTTTTCCACCACATTTTAGCCATCTGGAAACGTGAAATTTTGCTTCTGGTTGGTTCAGAAACCAGTTGTGGGGTTAGGACCTGGGATTAGTCAGGCTAACTACTTTCTAATCTGTTCCAGGAACAGATTTTTGTTCCATCACAAGGCCAACTCAAATCTTGCTTTCACGCAGGAGCTGACTGTTACATTTCACAGACTGGTACATGTAAAATAGCCCATTTGCAACTTTTGAAAAGATCATAATAACTATTGTATTTGTTTCAACGTTAGTATTAAATTAGGCTCATTCCTGGCCATTATTGTCTTACAGTTTGCTAAAGAGCTGTGCAAAAATTGGAGAAGGGGTTTATGGCGAGGTTTTCCGAGCACAGTATGAAAATGGACAATCCATTGCACTGAAGGTACATGACTGTGTATTTGTTGATAAAAATATTTTTTTGGCTGCATGCATTTGCTCTATGCACGCACTGCATGACCCCATAAGTCTAGATAACAAATTTTTAAAATTCTATTGCCAAATGGAAAAGGGTATTGGCATTTGCTGACTTCAAGTCATTGGCCTTTACAGTCAACCTCTCTATAATGGCCACCTTAGGGGACAGATGAAAGTGACCGTTACAGAGAGGTGGCCATTATGGGGAAGTACAGGTGTAGGAGTTTAATATGACATCTGTTTTTTTTAAAGTGGGGGTACAAAATGTTTATACCGGTATTTTAAAAGAATGCTGACCGTAGCACAGAAATACCTAACAGAATCAAAATACATAACAGAAGGTAAGGTGAAGTCTGCATGTGAGCCAAGTGGCCCATCAGGCCGGAGCTTATCCCAGTTTTTTGTGTAGCATGAAGCGACTAGGAGTATTTCTACTCCCCCCTGGATGGGATGCTAGTCCATCGCAGGGTTACCCCCAGCATTAAGTTCACCGGTACCCATTTATACACCTGGGTGGAGAGAGGCACTGTGAGAGTAAAGTGTCTTGCCCAAGAACACAACACAATGTCCCCGGCCAGGGCTCGAACCCAGACCGCTCGATCCGGAGACGAGCGCACTAACCATGAGGCCACCTCCCTCCTAACAGAATCAAAATACATAACAGAAACAGAGACCAAAAACACACAGTATGGATCAAGTTTGGGGACCTTTTACAATAAACACCATTCATCAGCTGTTGGTTAACTGACCATTGCGGAGGCGTAATTTTGGTAGTTTGGGACACGCTTACATGGATTTAGTGGCCATTGCTCTGACTTGTGAAGAAGTGGCCGTCATAGAGAGGTCAAAACAAGAGTGAAATGATGTAACTGAACTGTCTTTGGGACCGAAAAAAAAAACAAAATTGGCCATTGTAGAGAGGTGTCCATTTTAGGAAGGTGGCCGTTAGTGGAAATTCGACTGTATTGCCATTAGTTACGGTATGAACCCAACCATCTCTATTGCTACTAATACTGCATAATTAATGATACCATGTATTATTATTTAAATTTAAATTAATGTCTCTTCACACACAGATTATCCCAGTTGAAGGTGATTTTCTAGTAAATGATGAACCACAGAAGTCATTTGAGGAAATCTTGCCAGAGATTGTTATTTCCAAGTAAGGTTTCCTGCAATATTTTATTTTATGACATATAAGTTGAAGTACCATTCAGATTGAACAAAAACACAAATGAAAATGCTACACATATATGAATTTTCTCATGTTCAATAATATGTTACTAGGGAGCTGAGTTTACTTGGAGATGCCCACAAACATGTAAGTTGAAGTTAATATGTAGATGACTGGTGTTCATTTTGTTACATGTATGCCAATCTCATTTTTAGATAAAGGACAACTCATTGTCCTGCATAGACATTATTATTATCACTATTATTATCATTATCATTATCATTATCATTATTCATGATTTCTTAAAACATAAGCAGGCAAATATTAACGTTAAAAGCCGACGTTTCGGCGTCGTTGTGACACCATTCTCAAGGCAAAGTGAATAAATGATGCAAAGATTTGATTTCTGTACAGTCTCTACGAATTAGCATAATAACAAAGGATCACAAGTTCTTCAAGTGAATACCTTTGCACGAATCAAGTCCAATTGGATTATAATGCTTTGCAGTCAGTGTCAGACAGTTATTCAGTGGACATCACTCAGTCAGTAAGACAGGGTGGTATTATTTAGACAGTAGATGTTTATGAGAGTCAGTTATAGCTTCATGTAGCACTAGGCATAATTCAGTGCAGCTGAGTAAACCAATGCGACAGTACAGTGTTTAAGTGAATTCATCAGACAGTCTGCTACTAAGACAGATGGATGCTCAGTTTGACAGTTAGACTGAGACAGAGTCCTTCAGCGGATTAATCAGTCTGTAAAGTTGTCAAAGAGACAGTCGACCTGTTAGCAAAAAAAAAATAATACAAAAAAAAATACAACAAAAAAAAAAAAAAAGAAAACCTGTTACAGCTGTAGTTAGTCTATCAGTCAGTTAGTTTGTCTTTCATCTACACGTATGTACGTGTCCCGACTTAAAAGTCAGCTGTCAGGCTACTCAGCCTCTCTAGTTTCAGATGTCAGAACTTGTAGTTTGTACACAGTCATTTCTTTTCTTTACCCTGTAGTGAGTAGAGTGAGTGTCTACAGACCAACTATTTTCTCTTTACCAGTTCTTTTACCCAGCTCACACTCCTTTTGTTCCCTCTCATTCAATCCTCTGCAAATCAATTAATTTGTTCACTCACTTTACACTTTTTCATTTGAAAAGGACAAACCAATGGAGAACATGTCTACAAGCTTCATCACTGTCCACAGGTTTGACACAAAGATTATGTAGAATTTATCAAATATTTTGTTAAAATAACGTGAACCCGTCGCAAGAGAACCTGACCATAATGACGTGCACAAAACTAGCTACATATACATGTCGCTAAAGACGACTAAACCCAATTGCAAATAATTATGTCGGACATAATTATTTGTAATCGTGTTTAGTTGTCTTTAGCGACATGTAGTTAGTTGTTATTAATTTCTCCGTTCTTGTTTTGACTTCCAAGTAATTTGAAGTCTTACTTTCACTGAAATAAAATAATGTTGATTTCTGAGGTCCCAAGACGCGTCCTATCTGGTTAAAGTTCATTTACCCTTCTTGTATCGGTGTTGCATTAATTCCAGTCATCAATGTAATCGCAAATGTATTTGTTTAGTGTAACGTGTTGTCGCGACCAATACCCCAGTCACCTTATATCAGAATGGGACCGATGGAACGAGCAACACACGTCAGAAAACGATAGACCAGGTAAAGATCATATCATAAGCACTATCATTAACTATACTTTGGCTGAGCTCTTTCACAAGTGTACTGCAGCCACATCGAGAGATGTGATGTTGCAGAGATGATACAGTCGGACAATACAGATAGTACATACTTGGAATCACTTTGTTGTTTGATTTAGTCTTACCCAATTCATCTTATTACAATAGTACTTTCGCCAAAAGTGTTACTGAGAAACGTGTCATTTCTTTGGGGTGATAATCTGTACAAGCATTGATTGTTGTAGCTGCTTGCCTGTGTATTGGACAATTAAGGAAAACGCTTTTTTTTTTTTGCGCATGTACTTGTACCTCCAAGAGAATTTGCCTAAAACGACGCCTTTTTCCCCTACCTGAACTGTTTCCCCTACCTAACTGGGGCCTTATAGTTGTGCAGTATTCTGGCGTGAGGGCTATCCCAACATCTATTGCAAGAAATTTGGCTCCCAGATTAACAATGATAAATTAGAAGGAGTGCATGTTTGAGTTCCAAAGCTAAATTATGGGCAACGCTGAATTCTCCATTGTGTTGTTGGTATGGCTGGTACATGACTTATGTAATGGCATTCCCTCGCAGATATCTTCCCAAGTGACCAGTTCTTTATCGTTTTTGAGTTCTCGAATGGAGGCAGAGACCTTGAGAGCTTTGAATTTGATGCCTTGTCGGAGGCCTGGAGCGTATTGCGCCAGACGGCACTCGGACTGGCGGTGGCCGAGAAAGCACTTGAATTTGAGCACCGTGATCTCCACTGGGGTAATGTCCTGATCTGTAGGACTGGTGACGAGTTTGTAGAGAGTGCTTTACTTGGAGAGAAGAAGATGGTAGAGAGTCATGGCGTTCGAGTGAGCTTAATTGACTTCACTCTCTCGCGGCTAAAGAAAGGTAGTAAATTAAACTTAGACACAAAAAATTAGTATTCGTTACTCAGCTAAGGTTGGAGGCGCATAGAAATTTCGGCTGTACACGAGAACCAATCAGAAAGCTTTGTCCTGATTTTATGCGGTTATTTTACGTTTTACGTGTAGATGGTGTGACGGTGTTTTGTAACTTGGCAGAGGATGAGTCTTTGTTTACTGGCAAAGGAGATTACCAGTTTGATGTGTATCGCCTGATGAAAAAGGCCAACCAGTAAGTACCAAGCTATAGTGTGACAAGCATAACGTCAGCGTTTGGAAGTCACGCAGACTTCATAATGACTTGCGTTTGGGAGGAGAGGCCCAAGGTGCTCTGTCTCGCGGACAATATAATATTTTACAATAACTATCTAATTTCTCGTGCGCTGATTGGCTCATTTTTATCATCAATAAGAGTACAGACAGATAAACTTTAAGTTTGTGCAAGCTTTCAAGTTCAACTTTCAGCTGTCAAACTGTCAACTTTTTAGCCAATGAGATTTTATGGACTTTTTAAGTAGCCAATCAAAGAGCGAGAAAAGCTATTGACAATGTTCGCGTCATTTTGAATTAAATTCACTTATCTTTGTTTACGGCAAGTTTACGCGTCTTTTCCCCTCATTTATTCCCAGCATTTGACCAGTGTGGGGTCTTGTTATTGTGAAAAAAGCAAATTGACATCAGTTTTTTTATGCGTTTGTCCTCTTATTGATGATAAATTTCGTCATAACGTTGTCAAAGTTTACTGCGGAACCACTCGCCTGCGGCTCGTAGTTCCACAGCCACTTTGACAATGTTATGACGCAATTTATCATCAATAAGAGGACAGAAGCATAAAAAACTGACGTCAATTTGTTAAATCTCCTTTCATTTTGTTATCGGCAACAAAAATAGCTTCCCTCTGGAAAACGGAACACTATTATACCATTTACGTTTTACATGTACGCCGTTTTAATGTATTTGTGAGGGGTTTCCTTAGTTATGTTTGTTTTGTAACGGATTTCTTTAGGGGTAGGGAATAAACACCCGACCTTTGACCGGGGGTGGGGACGGGGAGGGGTGCAGATTTTAAATGCAGTAACCCAATAGTCATCGAGAAGAATTTCTCCAGTGTTTCTCGACAATTAAACATCTTTTTTTCATTTGACAGGAATGACTGGGAACCATTCGAGCCTTACACAAACGCGCTGTGGCTCCACTATCTCGCCGACAAACTGTTAAAGAAGAAGAAATATCCTAAAAAAGACAAAGAAATAGAGACCAAGCTGAAACGATTCTTAAGACAAGCAAAGAAGTGTTCCTCTGCTACGGAAATTGTCCAAGACTGTCTCGACTGAGAAAAATGACTTTGAGTACTGTAGTGATTTTTTCAAATGCGGTGTAGCAATACGGTTTCTGTGAAACTTGAGGTAGTGGTGGGTGGAAACAATGCGAGCCTTCGCCGACTCAGAAAGTTACAAGACAATGTGAGATCGGGACACAATATATAAAGTTTAAATTTATTGACCTTGTAAGATATACTAGTGGGGTAAAATCAAAGGTGTTTTGGTGGAAATCAGTTAGTTCTGCCGGTTAAAGAAATCAACCACATAAAAGTTTCGTAGAGGATTTTTGCGCTTTGAATAGCCAAGAAACATTTTTAGATTTCAGTGCTAATCAATGATATATTTCATTATACAGACGTGGACTTCCACAAAACAGCTGCTGTAAAGTGTACATAGTAGTGAGCTTTTATTAAAATTAGTTTTTATTTTGAAGAAACTAGTCCAGAGTCGATTTTTCTTTCGATCTCAGTGTAGTTGTTTTAGAGAAATACGGATGATGTATTTTTTACTAAAAGTAAAAAGGAGGGTTTCAACAGTTCCAATGTGAGTTTTGAAATGACAATGGCCCGGCTATGGTAAACTCAAAACTGTTTAAACCCCGCGCGCTTTACTGACGCTTCATATTACATGTAAAACACAGTTGAATTCCGCTATCTCGAAACCACAAGCTAAACGAACCGAGAAAAAGCTAACAAAGGAAAAGATAACGGGAGTCCAAGAAACCCGATAGTAAATGATTGGAACAAAACATACTAACATACCATGAGTAAGCCATCCCTGGCGAGAGGTACGCTACACTTCCGTTACACCAAGTGTGTTACGCTCAATGCTGCATGCCGCTGACAGTTACCATCATTGGCTCGATCATTTGACTAAGAGAGAAACTGGCACTAGTCTGTTGCTTAGTACAGTTTGACAAACAATATGGCGTCCGTTGTTGATACATATCTTCCTGTGAATCTGTGAGGTTTTTTGCTTTACCCGTGTAGAAATTACATATCAGGGTGGATCATTGCAACCTTGTGTAAAGGAGAAGAAGAAACGGAGCATTTGAGGCGTTAATCTTCGTCAAAACCGTCGACAATTTAGCGAGCTGAAAATATCATGGACCACAAACGTTTGTTGAGTTGTTGTGTGGAGGTGTTGGATTCTTTCAATCCAAGAATTCTTGGCGTTTTAGAACACCTAAATACTTGTTTAGCAACTAAATTGGTAAGGAATCGTTCTTCAATAATACGGAAATCAGTCTGGGAACTTATTTTTTAATGTTAAGGCGTAAACATTTTGCGTCAAGGCCGAGTTTTCTTTTCTTTTTCTTGTTTTGATTATTGCCGGCTAATTTGATCTCTGATTTAATTCTGATCTGTTCAGGATCTTGCTGAAAGCGATGAATCGTTTATAACAGAAGTTTTCTCGGGATGTGTGCAGTATACCAATATTCTGAAGGTTTGTGTGACTCATGAAAACTATGAAAACGTATAACTTCCACTGCAGCCGTAGCTAGATACAAGAATTGTACTCGTTACATTGTACTTCACAAGCTTCCAGGTGGTTGGCATAAGTCGCTGAATTGCTCTAAGGGCTCAACGCTGTAGAGAAAGAATGTATGTTAGAGCAGTCGTAAATTATCAATACGATAAAAGTTTGCTAATATAGGGTTTAAATTTCAATTAAGTTATTCTCTTGTGGTTTCATTAGGTTGTTGTCGATGCATATTATGCCGAAGTGGGCAAGACCTCCCTTCGTGTCGACAGAAATGTTTATACTGGTGAGTTTATGTGTATTTGTAGTCACTTGCTCTTGCTCCCTTTATTTGATTAGCATGTAAACTACACCTATATAGATTTATTCAGCAGAAAATAAACAAGATGAATTGAGTAGATGTAATTTTTAACATTGTACATCTCTCTTAAATTTCAGTATTGGTGTATTTAGCACTGTACAGACTTGATGAACTTGGGATTGCACATTTCAGAAAATTTGTTGTGAGNAGGTTTTACCATAAGTTATAGACAACTGTTAATTTAAAAGCTCCTATGAACTTCATTTTTGTATCTTTTTGAGGGGTGGTAGGTGATAACATGTATTTGTTTTCGTGCTATAGTTGTCTTGGATATGGAGGGAGTTGTTAAAAAATTAAGTTATAGTGGTGAAGAAAGCAGTATGTGCCCATTATTCTGGCTAAAAAAAACAATGTATAATAATCACCTGCAGACAATGACATGATAATGTAACAGAGATGTTTGTGCACATAGCCTGGTCGTCTAAGCCAACTTTTGTTTTGTTTTCAGATCCCAAAATTGAAAAAGTTGAGACAGGTAAGAATCTCGTAAGAGTACAAGTGTTCCCTGAGCAGTGTTTTGCTGTGGACGTTCACAACACAATGACAAAGTTACAGCAGTGAACTGCTGAGGGTTCAACAACTTCTCACCAGATAATGAAATAGTGAAGGGACAAAATTACCAATCATTGTCAACCTTTGCGATATAATAAATGTTGCTGTGTAATTACTGGATCATATCACCTGATGAAAACTAGCAGTAAGCAGCACTGTTGAAACAATGTGATCTCATTAATCAACATCACAAGTGACTACATCTTAAGACAAGCATCAATATTTTATTATAATTATGCTGTATTGTATCAACCATGTTCTTAACTACTAAAACCGTTTTCATGACAGACAGACAGTGTATATTGCAGTTACTAAACAAGTGTACAGTTTATTGAAGTTATATGTAAGAATTTTTTTTCTTCATGTATTTATTGAAGGTTCCTCAAAGCACATATCGCACACCAGTTGAAGAAGATGTCATTGCTAAGATACGGGAAGAAAATCGAAAAAGAGCTGAGGTGAGTGTTCAGCATGCAAACCCTCCTTACGTTCTTCATACACACTCTGCATACATGTTAGGGAGAATTGAATGATTAACCCTCTTGTGGACTTTTTATGCAGAGGAATTGACTACATTTACCTGCAATTTTGCTATAATTTCCTTTGTTTTGTTAACAGGAGGAACTTATTAGATCTTCAGCAAGGCAACCAGCCTGTGCCAGCGCAGAGAAGTCAGACAAAGCCAAGAGAAGAATGAGAAGAATTATTGACGAGGAAAATTCCAAGTGAGTGGCTTTAAAGCCTTATGAAATAAGTGAATGTGTAGCTTAAAATATGGTGATTCTACTGATATCTTATGATGTTTGACAGATGCAGAGTTCTGCCATTTGTAGTTCTCTTATGTGACCTTACTCTAGTCTAGATAATTGATTTTTTTGTTTATTTATTGTTTATTATGGTGGCTTCATTTCGTAGATTTCTATTGCGAAGAGTATGATTTTAACCTGAGGGAGGCTGAACACCTGAAACGTTGTTAACTATTAAACCTGGAACAGTCAATTCATCTTCATTCTCTTTAATTACACATATCTAATAATGAATAAATGGATGTAATACATGTAATAATTATTAAGGTGCAATTTTATTGATCAGAGGCAACATGTACAGACTGCACAATACAATGTACTGCAGGTACTTGACTATAATAATAATAATAATAATAATAATAATAACAATAGTAATAATTATTATTTTCATTATTATTATTATTAATTTTTGTTTGTTTGTTTGTTTTTCCACATGTAGATTACAGTTCAATAAAGTTAGAGCTCAAGAAATGCCTTCAACTACGGTGAGATATACATGTACATGTAATAACTGGGTCCTGTTTTTGTGGCATTCCGTTCCCAATGGGGATTCAGAAGACAACACAGGCAAATTGAAGCAAAATCAGGGAATTTGCGTGATGGTCTGACTGTACTGTGTTACGTCGTAAAGCTTTAAAAACAAACATTAGACGCTCTGTGGGTATATTTCAGACAAGATCAAAGTTGTCACGATTATCATTAATAAGACTACCACCCGAGAAATAGAAATTACGGTTTGCGAGTTATCCCAATCAGAGAGAGAAACGTTGTCACGCTCTGAACATATTCCTGAGGAAAAATCACGTATATTGAAGAAGAAAAAAATCTGTAAAGTGGAAGCCTCCAACAGCAAGTAACTGAATCCTCAGTAACATAAATTGTGACAAAAAGAGAAGGGCTTACATACATGTATGTGTAACTAATTTGCAATAGTCCAAACAAAACCTTGTTGCCAGTGACAGGCCAAGCGCTAATTAATAAATAATCAGGATTGGTCGAACATGGGACATCTTTGCATGCTGTGAATGGCTAATGCTATTTGCACATGCGCGAATTTGCTTTAAACATGTTTATTCATGCCTGTCCAGTTTTGCTGATACAACCAAGCAGTGTTTGTGATTTGTGTTTCTCTTTTTATTTTTATTTTTATTTTTTATTTTTTATTTTAGAGTGGGAACATTCCCATCAAGTTGAATGCGGCAACAATCATGAGGGAAGGAGTATTATTTCAGAAAAAAGAGGAAGAAGAACTGAAAAAGTACGAAAATTTGCATGTCAATAATTTGAGACTGTGCAATTACCCTGAAACATTCCTCTAGCATCCACTGATTGCTTCTTCTAATTTTACAGACTGTCAGAATATGAGAAGGGAGGGCGAGATGCATCAGAATTCTTAAAATGGCAAGAAAGCGTCAGAAAGGTAATAGATTTGTATTCCTATTTGTATAGCCACTTTGCAAGTACGAGAAATATGATTACATATTTACGCACCAATAGCAAATTCGTTTAAGTCTGTGAGAGGAAATTACTGTAGATCTTCGAATTATCGCCTCCCCTCAAATAAGCGCCCCCTTGGAATAAGCGCCCCTCCTATCGGCCCAAAATTTAAACTAAGTGCCTCCTCTCTCCTTGGTTTATATAAGAGTGCTGAGTTTTGGTCGTGTTCAATCACAAGCAAGTGATTATCGACTCATTCAAGCAACTGCGCATTGACCGTGGTAACGGATGGTAGCGAAGATCTGCTGATTCATTGCCTAAAGCCCAACCAACCTTATGCAGCAAGGATAGATCGGCTAAAGGATAGATCGGCTAAAGGGATTGTACTAATTATACGTAGTTCTTCAAGAGAGACAGGATCCTTCTGAGGCCTCTGAGGGACTGACAGCTACATACACTACCAAAAACCTGATCATATCTGACCACGATTTGGGAAAATTAATTAAGCGCCCACCTCGAATAAGCGCCTCCTTCGAATAAGTGCCCCGCGTCTTCTTCTAATTTTGAAATAGGCGCCACGGATTTACGGTATTTGTGAGTAAAGGGTAACGATTAAACTTGCGTAGTAACTTGTTTAATTTTTGTTAAATGTATTTTTGTGTTTCTTTGTAGAATGACTTGGAGGCTAAGCTGGCAGAAATAGAGAGAAGAAGATTGGTAAGGGTTTTTTTGATACGGTGTCTTAATCGAAGTTCGAGTTCTGTCCTTTCAACAGAAGCTTACCTTAAATTTTCAGTCCGACTCAAATTTACAAGTTCAACAGATTGTCAACAACTGCATCTCAAATTAATGACTTTTAAGTATTTACAGTACTTACCACAGACGAATGTTGCACAACAAATTTACGTAGAATGCTGAATGAAACATCATTGCATTGGTGTAAAACGTGTGCCTTTTCACTTTTTATAGGAAGGAAAGTTGAGCTATGAAGAGGCCATACTTGCCAGACAAACGATGATCAAAGAAAACCAGCAACGGGTCATGGAAATGAAAGAAGAGGTAGAGATAATGTCATTTTGAACATCTGAGAGTTGATTCCAACAAAAGAAAATTGTACGCTATTCGGCTATATACGTTCCTGGAATTTGATATTTGATGGTTTTTTTTCCTAGTACATGTAATCGTAGCCTGGGTCGTTTCGATAGTCTCCACTGACCGAGAGCCTGGAACAGACTATAGTTATCGTAGATTTCAAGACTGGGATTTCAGAAATCCCCTTCAACATAATGATTCTTGAAATAATATTCTCCTATAGCACGGCATGTTTGAAAATAGCGGAAACGCCTCAAGCCTCGTTGCTTCAATTTTTGATTCAGCTAAATTTGCTTTCTGGAGCCTTTTTAGCAAACAATACTGTTTCTAAAGCTTTTTTGACATTTCGCTGTACGGCTTTCTTGCAATTTTGTTACACTTTTTGATGTACATTTTTCTCTGTTGTCAGACCAGGGACATGATGCAAAAGCATTTTGAGAGGAAGACTCGAGAAGGAGAAGAAATGAGGTTTGTGGAATTTTTCCCGTTATATATTTGAAGGGACTGTATGCTAGCTCAAGCTCCGAACTTTACTGCCTATACATGTTTGCTACGCGCCAGAAGTGATGATTTCTCAACTGCGTACAGCTTGAAGGACTATACTCTTTTAATGTGACATTGCGTGTGATCTTTTATAGAAAACTTGTTGAGCAAACTATGATGGAACATGAAAACACGAAAGAGGCTCGAAAGAAACTTCAAGAATACAAGCAAAAGCTGGGTAAGACAAGAAGTTGGGTTTCTTGATAAGAATTTAACTCTGTTGGTCTAGATATAGAGTTTATTTTCTGCATGGCATCCGTTTAAAACAGTTCTTCCAAATAAAAAGGTTTGTCTTATTCATCGACATTTCAGTTCAAGAAGTCAGCAAGGAAAGTCAAGAACTCATGCGTAAAGCCTTGGAAGAGGTATGTTCTGATTGCCTTTTTCTTTCTTTCTCTGTTGTTGTTGTTGTTGTTGTTGTTGTTGTGTTGTGTTTGCTTTGTTTTTGTTTTTGTTTTGTCATTCGTCCTTACTTCATGGCTGGTGGGATGGGTGGATGGAGGAATTTGAAATTTAAAATCAAAGAAATACATTGACTATTTTAATTTTACAGGCTGAAGAGGAGATGAGACAAAGAGTGGCGCTGATTGCTAAGATACGAGCCATAGAAAGTGTGCCAGTCATTCGCTTTAAGGTATATTGTTATTTATATTATTTATTTATTTATTTATTTATTTATTTATTTATTTATTTATTTATTTATTTATATTATTTACATTGTTACTACTCAAAAACCATTAATTGAAGTTAGCTAATCACACTGCGAAGCCTCCAGAGTTCCACTGATCCGTCCTTCAGAATATGACGCATTTTCCCGCCAAAATTCACCTCTAGTTTACCAGTAGCCGCTCAATTTCCCACTAATATCTTCCTCGTTCCATCGACTGCCTCACAATTTCCCGCCAAAAGTAGTTTACTCCACACTTTCCCGGAAAAATATGCATTTTTTTCGCTGTGACGCATTGACGTCATTTGTTTTTTGTGTTCTTTTTGCAGCACGTGGACATCACGGAAACGTCAGGAGCTGGTCTTCTCAGTGAGATGTCCATAGCAGAGGTGAGCTGCTCGGTTTTTAAAAAAGAATTGTATAAGAAGGCTATTCACAGGACCTTGTCATTGTTTCTGGGTGGCGAGATGACCTCATGATGACCCAAATTCCTTCCTCCGCGAGCATCTTTCGAGGCCTGGCCAAAGTCACTGTGTTGTGTTTTTTTGCATGAGACTTTCCTTTCACCCTCTGAAGTAAATGGAAACCAGCGAATTTTGAGATCAACTTTTGAGATAAAATGCTGGGGTTTCCTGCTATAGACTTGCATTCTACCATAAGGAAAGGAAGAATTTTCTTAGTCAGTCCATGCTGCACATGCAGCGCAAACCGGCCTGATTTAACATACATACCTTTTGTAAACCCTTCTCTATTTCATTGCAAAGATTCAAATTCACAGTGAAACTTTTATTTCATGGTAGTAACCGACTAATGTTTTCCTTCCTTAGCTGCGAGAAAGGTTGGCCTTACTTAAAATTGCCGAGAAAGAAGACGAGGAGGAAAAACGAGACACTATACTTAAGTCCAAAGTGGTGAGTGTTAGTGGAGAGCGATAAAAAATAAAAACAGGGCGTCAAACAGGCGAATGTTTGAGCCAACCAATAGCCTCACTAGTTCCCCTCTGGTATTTTTGAATTTGTCGTCTGTTCACAAAGGATTTTTTTCTCGGACTTGTAAGAAGTAATGTCATTGTTTTGGACTGTTTTAACAGAAGAAAGATCAGTTCCTGATGGACACCTTAGAAACTATCGCCAAACACCGAGCAGAGAAAGGAAATGAGGCAGCCATCCAGTGAGTGATACTTTATATCTGATTATATGACGTACGTCGCCAGGACCTTTCGTCGCTTTGGGCTGGAAATTTTTATTTCCCTAACATTAACGTTGAGACATGCGAAATACCCCAGTACATACAGTGTAGTAATACATTTTTGTGATGAATTTAGACTTGAAGGAAAGAAGCGAGAAAAGAAACCTGAGATTAAGGATACAAAGTTACAAGAACTGCAAGAAAGGCTGGAAGCTAGGAAAGCGGGTAAGTGAAATCCGAGAAGGCTTCTGTCAGTTTTCTCGCGTAGTACTTGATTTATAAAGCCAAAAATGTAAGGCATGCATTAAGTAAATGATGGGGAATGGTTGTGAAGTAAGAAAAAAAAAACGCGAAAGGTTTACTTTCTTCCGAGGAACTAACCAATAGAAACGTTTCGGCTATGTGACTCGTGCAAGGTGTATTTCAACCTCGAGCCCAGGCTCTCTCGACAAGGGAGGCAAGGGAGAGAGAGCCTGGGATTAAGATTGGGTGTATTTACGCAAAACAAAAGATTGTACACTGCACGGTTGTAGACTTCCCAACATAAATCTTGCTTTGGTGTTTGCTGGGCTTCATGACCATTTCTCCCCCGTCCGAGTTCATTGCATCACAGTGACACTTAATGCTTTGCAATAATCATACAGTATTTACAATGGTAATTGAACTGAGTGGAGTGCAATTTGGTCTGAAATCATACGCGTGATTTCAAAATTGAACGAGCGCGCAGCGCGAGTTCGATTTGAAATCACAAGTATGATTTCAGACCAAAATTGCACGACCCGAAGTTCAGTTGCCACTTTATTAATTCCATTTTGAAATCGCACAATTTTATCGCCTTAAATGTTAGATTCAGTAGCCGGCGTTAAAATAGCGGAACCGGAAACGGCTTGACATCTCATTTAGTATGCAAAACGATGTCATGTG